TTAACAACCGTGTTACTAACTGAACAATTACAGCGATTCACTTAACAACCGTGTTGCTAACTGAACAATTAGAACAATTCACTTAACAACGGTGGAAAGAAAAGTAGTAAAATGGGGTCAAAATTCACTTGTCCTGCTTAGCAACAGACATTTTGGGCTCAATCGCGATTGTAAGTAAAGGACTACCTGTATAGGATCGAGGTCAACCAAGTATCAAATTTCAGCAAGGGTGTTGTCCCGGATCCCCGGATTCTTCAAATGTTGGGCTATACCCTAAAGTTGCAGGACAGGCTGCCCGCTTCCCCCGGTGAACTTTCTTGTGCTTGGTGAGATCCGAGCTCGAAATGAAACGCTTCCCGCACTCGAAGCAGGCATAGGGCTTCTCCCCGGTGTGGGTCCTCTGGTGAGTAATCAGGGAGGATTTCCGATTGAAGCATTTGCCACAGTCCAAGCATTTGTGGGGTTTTTCCCCCGTGTGGATGATGTTGTGGTTCAGGAGATTGGAGCTGGTGCTGAAGCTTTTCCCGCACTGGAAGCACTGGTAAAGGTTCTCCCCGGTGTGGATCCTTTTGTGGGTGATCAGGGGCGCTTTGGCATTGAAGCTTTTCCCGCACTCGGAGCAGCTGTAGGGCTTTTCTCCCGTGTGAGTCCTCTCGTGGATGATGAGGTGAGTCCTCTGGCTGAAGCTCTGCCCACAGTAGGAGCACTTATACGGCCTCTCTCCCGTGTGGACCCTCCGGTGCATCATCAGGTTGGTCCGCGTGCCGAAACCCTTCCCGCACTCCGAGCACTCGTACGGCTTCTCCCCCGTGTGGATCCGCTTGTGCGCGATGAGCGAGGCGATCTGGTTGAAGCTCCGGCCGCACTCGGAGCAGTGATACGGCTTCTCGCCCGTGTGCACCCTCTTGTGCCTCAGGAGCTGGGAGCTGTTCCCAAAGCTCTTCCCGCACTCGGGACACGCGTACGGCTTCTCCCCCGTGTGTGTCCTCTCGTGGGTAATCAAGGACGACTTCCAGTGGAAGCCTTTGCCGCAGTCGGCGCACTTGTGGGGCTTCTCCCCCGTGTGGACGATGTTGTGGTAGATCAGGTTGGAGCTGGTCGTGAAGCACTTCCCGCACTCGGAGCACACGTAGGGCTTCTCCCCAGTGTGGGTTGCTTTGTGCTTCAGGAGGGCCGCCTTGGTCCCAAAGCTCTTGCCGCACTCTGAGCATGGATAGGGTTTAGCCCTGGCTGCAGTTCCCTGGCTGGAAGCTAGGGGCGCTCCGTTCTTGAAGGTTTTCCCACACTGGGGGCAGATGTAAAATTCTTCCGGATCCATTTTCGGATTGGTAGGAAGGTCATTGACTTCGCAGAGATGTCCGCACTCTGTGCATTTTCTTTTGCTTTCATTCTGGATTCGGTCTTCTTGGACAACGTGTCCATCACCTTCTTTGCAAAACTTGGTCGTCTTCTTAGGATGGTCTTTTTGAAAGCTCTGTAGTTCTGGCTGATTTCCAGGCTCGGTCTCCTTCTCATCATGGAATGAGAAAACTGTCTCTTTGGCCAAAGATGTTTCCCCCTCAAGGAATCCATCTTCTTTTGCCTCTGTGTCGTTGTTACCTGCAAGGAGAGACTTGTGAGTCACAATCCAATAGCATGGAGTATCCATCATTACCAAATTAGGGTACAACTATAATGTACGCTTCATTAAGTGGAGAAGATAAGATGCCAGATTCAAAACTCTGATTGTGTGATTTATCAATAGCAATAGCAATAGCAA